TTCAGCAGGGGCATTCTTTCCCAATCCTATATTCTGCCATAAAATCCACAGTGGTGGTGATTATTACTTTGCAGCTGAATAAACTCCAGCATTAGGAATTATTTCTGAATACAACAGAGTATATCCAACCCTTTTTTTCCTGGGACCTGTTTTTCGCATTTAGGCAGAGATTGTATAGAGACGAGAGACAAACCTGAGACAGATGATGTGACCTGTTTGCATATTGTAAACAGACAAATGGACAATCAAGATGTAAAAGTTATTAAACATGTCACACACTGTACACCTACAGCTCCATGTACTTTTTCCCTGCAACAATGGCGTTACTTGCTGGATGCAAGTTTGTCACTATGAATGTTTCTCCCTAGAGCTGGGAGGAACGCATTTAGATAGCAACAACGCAGCTTTTGGAGTGATGAGCAAGGAATGTTGGAGTTCAGGATATGTTTACCAATTCCACCCCAGTCTTATGCTCATTGCATGCTGAGCACCTCGAGACATATCTCTCAGAAAACATTATTTACAAGAATAACTCTTTCCATATTTTCTTCACAAAAGGAACAGTAAGAAGTCCATTAATGTACCATGTAAGATGAAAAGCCATCTGAAAGACTTCCACTTATTTTATCAGTTTTGACTGAAAAATGGTTAGCAGAATTACCTTGTCAATTAGGTTGAAAAGAGCTGAGAATATTTTGGGAATAGTTTCAGAAGCCCATCTCTGACATTCGCATTAAAATGCTAGCCTGACTACTAGCAATACCTTGTCTGCAAAAATCTAAACAAATAGTTTTAATGGTTATCAAGCAGTAGTAGCATTTTCATCATTTTGTTTGTCGTTATTTAGTACTTTTTAACCAGATTCTCTCTCTCAAGAAAGTGACTGTCTTGTAGTTAGCACGACTAGCCATATACACAGCATTTCTAAATGGAATTACATATTGTTGTTTTCTCTCCACCACAATATTATCTTACCATTTTCAGTATTAGACAGCACCACAGGTTTAAGCAGGTCACAGACAACAAGCAGCAGGTCTACTTTTACTGCTTGCTTCAAACAATGTATTGGTTCAAATTTGTACATTCTTAAAATGTTTTCTTCACTTAGCTATACTAAAAGTACCACAACAAAATTAAAGTTTACATTGAAAAAGGTTCTTGTTGACTTGACCAAGAAATACCGCCAAAAATCTCTTTTACCCCCACAGGAAATCATATATTGTCCTGAATTAGTGTTAACTGATACTTATATGAGAGGACTCCATATTTCAGAAACCAGTTATTTAATGCTCAATATTCTTTTCAGCAGATGAAGAGGTAGGTATATTTCCACACAAGAAAAAAAAACCAAACCAAAACAAAAAAAAATCAAAACAAAAACCAACAAACCAAACTGTAACAGACACTCCATTAAATCAAGTAATGTCTGAAAAGTCAAACACTGTTCTGACAGCACATAAAACATAACATGTCTGAAGATACTCTCAAAGGAGGACAAGAAAAGTTGCGCATTCTGGTTAGATAATATGTCATAATTTGAAATTTAATACATCATGAGTTGAAATTTAATAATTTTCTGGAAAGAAAACACAGGTATCCAAATGCTACTTCCTTCCCCTCCCTTCCCCAAAGAATTGTGGGTGTCAATGAAACTGCCTGTATCAATGGTAGTATTAACTTCTGGACTGCTAAACATGGAATCAACTGCAGTTCTTCCTTACATTCACCATCACCAGCAGTCTACAAGTTTACAGAGACCATATACATGGTAATGACATGATTACAATAGAAATTCAACTTTAGTGTTGTTCTTAAAACAATCTTCATAAATAATGAAAATATCTGTGTTCTAGCTCTTCAGTAACCTAAGGTTAATTGGTACAGATAGTGTTTTTCTTCTGTTTATAAACCAAACTTGAGGTTCCTCACTGCCAACAACGGTTAAGGCCTGGATCAAGTTATTCTCCTTTTGCTTTTCCCTTTTTCTGCTTTTTTCCATTTTCCACCACTGCATTATTTTCTGGTTTGCTTACTCCATTTGCAACAGCACCATTTGCTATTTTGCCGTTCTTTATGGGTTCCTTGGGCATCTTATATGTCCGATAGTAGAAGTTACCAAACAGGAAAATGAAGGTGACAGCATAGAAAATTACACCCCAGTGCATCCATTTAGGGAAAGGACAATCAATATAAATAGACAAGGCTGTGTGGCCAATAGTCACATGGAACTGCACCTAAAAGACAGAAAATACAGAATCAGAAAGGTTTACCTATATTTTGTAGGTCTGACTGTACCAATACGTACTGATGCATTAAGTTATGAACATCGCTAAACTGGGAGGCGGTAGGGAAGCTATATTTGGCTGTCACACTGTGCATGCACACATATGCTTGATCAGGTAGATCAAATTTATTGTAGTACCTGGCACCAGTTTTCAATAATAGGAAAATTCTAAGACATTAGGATATCTGGATTTGCTCTACCTTTTGAACAGGTTTTTTTGCAATTCAGTTGAAACAATCAGTAGAGTAATATTAGACTTTACTCATACAACTCTACGCTGCGTGTTTTTTGAGAAATTAAATAAATAATTCCATTGCCTGGAAGTATTCTGATTTGAGCTGTGAGTATCAGACAGCAAGGAACTTTTGGAAGAAGCAGTATCTGTTCCAAAGCTCTGCAAATTCAAGTCCATTCAGAGGCAGTATCTTCTAACATAACGGGAAAAGTTTTACTTACCAATTGCAATATAGTCAAGTATCGTTTCCACCACAGGTATTTCTGAAATTTAGGGCCACAGGCAGCTAATCCATAATACATGTACATAATGACATGAATAAATGCATTCATCTGAGCTCCGAAAAAAGCTGTCCAGAAATAGAAGGAAAGATTGTAATGTAATTTTGGGGAAAGAAAAAAAAATTTGTCTTTTCTTGTATTATTGATGTGATAGTAAAAATTATAAAGCACAGAACATGCTAGGATTCCATTTTTGAAATATTCAGTAGTATAGTATAGGCCTGACTGCCAACATGTGCTGAGACAAACAGCTGTTCATGCAATTAGTGTATCACATCTTTCATGGAACTACTTATACAAAAGCTTTTCGTAAGATTTTTGTTGAACGGAAATAAATCACATGGACTCCATATTAGTTATTGTAGCATAATCAAATCGTTTTGCCAGAGGATTATTAAAAGCTGTATTTGACAATGTAAAGTATAAAGTATCAGGATCTGAACTTAAATCTTTTAAATGAAATTTAAATACACAAGGTTCACTTTCTCAGCAAGAAGCCAAGAAATTCATATGGAAGTCTGATTAAATAGGCCAATAAATACGTAAATAAATAAATGAGATCACACAAAGCAAAACTTCACTTGTGGTTTTAAGACATTTAAGAGCATTGAGTTTGTCTAAAGTGCTCATCTTTGGTTTCCTTATTTATGACTTAAAATATTCAGCATCCTTAAATATATAAACGTATAACTTTTTTCAGAATTATTCATGCTGGAAATGAAGATGACAGTTCTCATTCGCGTTAAGATCTCTCTGCTCTTTCCAGATTAGCAGCCATTTAACAGAAACAAATTCTATCTTGTAAAGTTATTCTTACACTGCCAGAAAGGCTCAAAAAGGCTCTACTGTATAAGATAAGGGCAATACAGACAATAGCTGCTGACATCAAACAGCTCAGATGCCCATGTGGTCTAGCCCCAGTTAGTTATAATAGGGTCTAGTTTATAATAGATCTGTCTATGTAAGCAACATGTAATCAACTAGAAAACAGAAGAACGTTAGACCTATCCACATTTGTGCAGTAGCACTACATAAATGCAGAAGAGCAATGGTTGCTTTTCTTTTTGCAGGGGCTAGAACTAAGAGGCAGTGGAAGAACAACCAAACTTGAAATAAAATTGGAAACAGTTGCAACTGTTGTATTGAAAGCTGCTGATATTTAGCATGAAATGTCTGAAGAAGCAACAAGGGAGAGAGATATCCAGTGAATTTCTAAGTAAGACTACAAGTAAGCATCTGGTCTCCAATAAACTTATTTTATGGGTGTAGTATCCAATAAAGATCATGAAACATCTGGCTGAGGACCTGCATCCTGCATGGTACTTGGGAGAAATTAAAAGATAGTCACAGATACTCATTTTAAATATTTCTTCTTTTGCATATAAGTAACCACTCAGTACAAAATATCTATAGTAAATGAAAACATAACCCCTTCACGCATTAAGTATTAGTGTGTTTTGGGGAAAAAAACACACCCAAAACCAACCAAACCCCAAAATATTAGTTTGGTGTGGTGTTCATTACATGTTATTTTCAGTGTTTTAATCCTAACAAAGAACATTACAAACTCGGACCCAGGTATTTTTCCTGAACTCTCAGCTCTATAGAGCTTATAATTTGAGAGAGACAAGGCAAAACAACAGGAATGAAGGTACAATGCAGGCAAAGAAAAATGTGACAAATACAATGCAAGAAGAATGTGACAAATACAATGCAATAAAATTCTTCAGTGGGGGTTCTAGAAAGGAAGCAAGGAAATGAAAAAGGTTGAAAATCACAGACTTGTGTCGTTATGTTTTAAAAGTTAATTGACAGCTTGATTGGCTCACCTTCAAGGGAAGGTTTCAGAATTTTATACATGCCTCTTGATAAGAAAGCAAGCTAACCCCAAACTCAGATACAATGCCAAAATAGCACCTCCATTAATTTCATTATATTTGCACACAAATTGTGGCCCACAATTAGATTTTGCAGTTCTCTGTGTCTGCAAATCTGAATTTAGGCAAGACATGTTTATCCTTCTGTTTCATACAGAACAAGGATAATTCTGAATACAGAACTTCAGGCTTGCAGTTGATGTCCATGAGGGAAGAGAAAAAAAAGTTTTGCAATTCATTAGATTATTGCTCTGTTATCTTTTCCTCCCCCACGTTTCCCATAGAGGAGGACTACACATTGAAGCTATTGCACTGCTTTGGTAGTATTTAAACAGTTTTGTGTATTATAATGTTTAAGTCTGTAAGAACTTAATAATTCACCCTTGTGTCCAGTCAAAAGGGTAGGAGAGGAAGGGAACTCACCTTGTCCACCTGCAACCCACTTAATACCAATCCACCACAAAGTGAACATGGTAAAATGGTGATAGACATGAAGGAAACTAATTTGGTTAAATTTCTTCCTCAGGATGAAGAATACTGTATCCAAATATTCGATTCCTTTAGAGACATAATACCACCATAAAGCAGCAGCTATCTGCAATGAGAAAAAGACAACACAGAAGTTTTAGTGATTCCAAGCTCAATGGAATGAAGTTCTCTCACCTACCGGCTGCAAGAGAAGGATACCCTTTCCTTCCCCAAATCCGTGTAAAGGTTGAGGTGGAGTCAACAAACATCTGACAGTATGAGAACAACAAAACCAATATTCCATTCATCTGGTCTGGACATGGAAGTATCATGCTGAGTGTACTGCTCACAAATCACAACCGTAAAAAAGAGCTAACATAATTAAAAACTTTGCCATCTCTGAACAGTTTACCAGTTAAACACAGAGAATTTGTGCCTTCATTCTCTATCCTGAGCTTTGCAGGGGAAGACTATCACAGGGCTTCCCCTACTAATGAGGTCACACTTTCTTGTGGTTGGAACAATGAGACAGAAACATTAAGATAAAATGAAGTTGCAAAGATTGAAACCTTGTATAAAATTCTTTCATTATCACAGGCATGGGTGGGAAGACACCGAATCACTTACAAGCTAGATGTGGTACAGATTTCACATCCCTTAGAGCAATATTCCCCCTCAGCTGCTTCTGGCCTGCTCAGCAATCCCTGCTGGAAAGTGACATTCCCCTAGTGGCTCTGTGACACTTGGGGAGTAGGACAACTGAGAGCATAGGAGCCACACAAGCTGCAGAGATATAACCCACCTACCCAACAAGACAATGCTACACACCCAAAATTCTTTTCCTAATCCACTCATCACAGTGAATCTTGCCCAAGATGCAACTCCTGCTGAAATCAGGATATTGTTGTAACAGGTAAAGCCCAGAAGCTTGGCATAGCAATTTGTTAATACTATGATATGGGGGTATGGTGGTGGTAAGGACTCCCTTCCAGATCCCAAAGCATAACAAGTAGTCTAGTTCCTGGCATTGTAAGTCATCTAGCTTGTTATGCAAGGGTGGGACCAGAACATATCCCACATGATGACTCACACAGAGAATGAAAGAAAAAAAAAAAAAAAGGACAAGGACAGCAGGCAATGTCACAACACACTTATTCGTAAGAAGTTTACCTGGTCTTTCAGGACCCACCTGATGGCAAATCAGACTTCCTTACCTTAACATGGTGTGAAATAACACTACCACTCCCTCAGTCCCCAGGGGAGACAGTAGCTTTCCTTCTCAAATACACACATACTGTTAGGCAAGTGAGAGAAAGGGGAATCGAGAGAACAAGCACAATAGAGTAATGCTACAGCCCTACATGGTGTTTTCCTCCAGCTTTCCAAACCAGTGAGAAATGAACACATCTTGCCTCAGACTAAGTTTGTCACAGCCATAACTGGCCTGGTGAATGTTTTAGGAGAGATTACAGCAGAAGCAAAAAAGCAGCACGGGAGCAGAAGAATGCCGCAGATCTGCATTGCAGACTCTGCAGTTTCCCAAAGGAACTGTACAACTTACTGTTGCCAAACTGCAGATTTCTATGTATCCATTAATGAATAATCTTCTTGCTCTCTGGATATGATTTACCCTACTTCAGGTCTCATGAAGAAGAGGCAGATTTTGCCAATTTTTTATATAAAGAACTAATTATGTGTCAAAGTTGGAGAGAGGCTTAATGAGAGAAAAGTGACTCCCACAGATCTTGGAGTTCCAAGACACAGGCAATCTGCAAACACCATATATATAATGTTGCTCAATATTCAGTACAGTTCTGCCTCTGGGACAGGTAGGCAGGTATTTAATAACATCCACATCAAGACTTTGTCTCACACCCATGGATTAGCATAACAGCCCAGCATCTTTTACAGATAGCTGCTAAAGTTGCATCTCTTAAATTATGATAAACATCTTTTCCTCTTATGAGTTAACAACAAAAACTTTGGACTCTACCCACGAAATGACATGCCAGGACTACAATACTGAAGCTCTTTGGAGGTCCTTACCTCTGAGAAACTTTTAAAGAATCAATAGGTCAGTTACAGCAAACTTCCATAAAATCTCGTATAAAGCTGATGTGCATCTTGTTAAAGTGGAACAATGAGCCAAATAGCCAACAAGCAAATAGCCAATTTACTGTACAACATAGAGCAAAATGTAAGTAGAGAAAAATCCAACAAAACACCTTATGTTTTATGTCCAAGCTGCCACAGGTTCACTATGTCATAGAATGGTTAGGGTTGGAGAGGATCTTAAGATCATCTAGTTCCAACCCCCCTGCCGTGAGCAGGGATGCTTCACCCTAGACCATGTCACCCAAGGCTCTATCCAACCTGGCCTTGAACACTGCCAGGGATTTACCACTTCAGCCTGTTCCAGTGCCTCGCCACCCTCACAGTAAAGAAATTCTTCCTTATTTCTAAATGGAACTTCCCCTGTTTAAGTTTGAACCATTACCCCTTGTGCTATCTCTACAGTATGTTCCTGGACAAGTAATTTCATACATTTCCTCCTCTTTTGAATTCTACCTGCCTTTCACAGAATGCAATTATAGCCCATGGATTAAAATCAGCTGAACTTTTGATTAAAATGCCTCCCATCACTTAAAAATAGTCTACATCTCTTTGCAGGATTATATCTGCTGATTTCTGTGTTCCTGTACATTTTTTTGCCTGACAGCTCTTTTGCTCTCTTCCTATAATCCAATTTTACTACCATTTATTCTCAGACCTGATAGGTTTTGTGCACTGATGATCTATTTCAGTACTCCCAATGACTTATGCAGATGTTTTGATCATTAGCTTATAGATGCTGAAAAAAATGAATCAGATGTTAGATCATCTGCCTGAGGTCATGCATGCAATCAGTGGCAGAGAGCAGAAATAAAGTAGAAAATACACCAATACATAAAATACGTCAGGAGCAGATGGCTACTATTAAACTACTTCTGCAAAGCATAAGAAGTTAAGACCTAACCTTTAGCCCTTCTTTGGACAAAGCATAAAAGAAAAAGCTTTAGCTTAAAAGAAAGTATGCATTAAAAGGCATATTTCTGAAATGAATAATGCTAGTCACAACCATACCTTTTCTGGCAATTTTCATAGCCACCAATCTAAGTCTGTTAAAACACCAGATGGCACAGAAAGATTACATTACAGCCTAGGATTAAGGGGGTCAATAAGAGGTCCAATCCCATGACCTCTCCCTGCTGCAGGGTTTTTGATCAGAGGGCTGTTTTAAGATGGGACTCCATTCCTGCATTCTCCTTCCTCATTTCAGGTTGGAAGGGGTTTGAGGGGACAGATACTATTTAGGAGCTAACGGTTACATGAAAACTTAAGTGGCTTTAAAAAAAACTCTTTTCCATGCTTCAGTTACAAATTTTGGTTAGAGAACCATGAAGTCTATTTTGTTAAGTCAAGTTCCCTTTTCACAGGAGTAAATTATTATTTTTTCATAAAAAGGAACTACTCATGCCCTAGACAAATACAAACAGTACAGATTACAATTACAACACAGAAGGCAACCATAGCTCAGCTTTGTGATTACAATCAGCACACTTAAAACTAGGAACTAATTCACACAGTTCCAGATTCCGAATTCTCAGCTCTTCAGAAACACTAGATGAACCTTGACCTGGGAAACAAGGACACAGAAACATAAACAGATGGGAAAAATTACTCACAGACACTAACATGCTTTAAGTTAGACTGAAGAGTTTTTTCTTTGGTCCTACAGTGTCAAAACCCAACAACATACTTCCTAAACACAGGGCATGATACACTGTAACACATGCCAGAAATACATCCCAAGCTCTTTAGTCAGACAACCTACTACTTGCAACTTATTTACCTAAATTGGGAATTCATTCCAAAGAACTACCAGGGTAGATGGGTTTCGCGTTATAACATACTATATAGTTACTGCAACATCTTGAGAGAATTCAATTTTCTCTGCTTCCTCAGTTCTCCCAGTTGCAAACTAACATGTTACAACTTAAAACTTTAGAAACATAGTTTATGCAGATCCACAAGTTTGCTGGAAAAACCTGAAAAAGTCAAGCAGTCCAAAGAGTAGACATTGCTAGAGCAATCTTTCTTTTCTGGACATACCACATGCAATAAATACATTGTGCAGGTCATTTTTACTTTATTTCATTGTATAATAGTGCTTTGTTTGTCATAAGGAAAAAAACAGCAGATAATTATTTTGAGCAGGTCTGAACCCTCCACAGCATCCCACAAACAAGTGCGTGTAGAAAAGAGTCTGTGAAACAGGATTTTTGCATATTAAATGTTATTACATCTTGTACTTCACTAATATAAAAATTCCTTCAATATACGTATGGCATAACAGTTGTCAGTGTCATCCAGCTGACTCCAAAGGCATTTTATTTTGCTCACCTATTGAAAAAAACCCTCTTGAGGGTTATACTTGGATGGATTTTGTTTTTAAACAAAATTATTAACAGAAGTATTCTAATGACAGAAATAGTGAGTACACAGTATTGATGAAGAGGAAAGACAGCTGATTACTGTGAGACAAAAAAATCTGACATAGATTTTTGCAATATCAGACATGATACATAATGTGTAAGAATCAAATCTATCCTCACTACCACTCCTGCTATGTGCATAAGTTTTGAGTAATACTACCCATGAACACCATTTTGAAATGTGCTATAAATATTAGATGTATTTAGACTATAACACATTTTCTTTGCATTTTCAAGAACATGTTCTAATCTGTAGGTGAAACTTGCAAGAACAGCTGAGAGATTCTCAAGTGTCAGCTCTGCTGAAAGATAAGATTTAGTACATGAGCTAATCAACAGCGTTGCGGAAATTAGCAAGCATCTGCACTTTGATTTTAATTTGAATGCTTTCCAAAAGCCACACATTTGAAATCCAAGCTTCTACAATGAAACATACTGATAATACACTTGCCAGAAGCCAGCAAAACCTCAGGAAGTCAAACATAGGTAAGGGAGACAAAAAGTTGCCTCAACAGTATAAGTGAAGTGCAACCACAGTACATGCTAACAAATCTTACTTGCTTTGATCAAGCCAGAACACCACACCTTTACTGCGGTTAGCCTGGTATTGTAAACTCCAGCACGCTCTAGGAACCAAAGTATGTATTCAAAGTTTATCCTGGATAGTACAACTGCAGATGAAGCCAAGGATGATATCTTTAAGACCATCCTTACTTATAGCTGTCAGATGAAAGTTAATGCAGATACACTTAATGCACTTTGCTTACACCTGCCATGTGCGATGTAGTCATACCTGGAGTGGCCTGTGAGAATATAACGGGATACAGTCATGGGCTGACAGCAGAACTTCGGAAGGACTATTTTCAGACAAGACTTCACCCATCATGTAGTGCTATATATTACACACATTCATATGCAAATACAAAAAAAATATACTCACCCTGACTTCATAAACATTATCTGAATAATCCACAGTCTGGCAGACATAGCTGTACCCTCGAGCTCTTGATGACAAAAACAGCTGAAAATATTAAAGTCATACATGAGGGGAAAGATGCTACATAAACCACTCATAACAATTATCAGCAAATTTCTTACTACATCAAACTTACCTGAAAACATCCTTCTCAGTCCTGAGAATACTATTGAAGTTCTAACAACCTGTTCTTAGACAGTGCCTATTTTTCTCTTGTAAATTATAAAGAAAGTACTCACTTTTCCCTGCATGTTATCTACTCATAGCCCTGTACAAATTCGTAAGAATTCCAGTATGACCTTAAGCTATTCAAACCTGAGCATTCTTTCTGATAGTTCTAGCTTCAGAGACATAAAATACCTAAATACTTTCACTATGAATGACAGAACCCCTATTCCTGTGATGGACTTGAGAGAAGTGTCTCCAAGAGACAAGGATTAGATAATTTGGATCAACTATTCTTTTTTTTTTTTTTAATATATATATAACAGTATACAAGTCAAAATCCAGAAAAACCACAAACCCTGAAGACCCAGTGCTGAGCACCCCTAAAACATACTGAGAGAAACCAAATGAACAAAAGAGCCCAATTTTGTGCTAACAGAAATGGCCTAAAGCACAGGAAGTGCTCCTGTAGGGCCACTCCAAATAAAGTGCATTGCAATAACCTGAACAGGAGAAGATAAGCTTGGTATTTGAGCAGGGTCCCATTGGAAAGAACAACACTTGCCTAGAGCAGTACAAGGTTTAAGTAATACTTCTAATCTTGACATTCACAAGCGTTATGATCCAAAATTGTTCAAAGCCAGGTAATCCCACCCTGTCAAGGACTAAACAACAGAAGTGGAGCAGATATAACCTGTAAATTGTGAGCTGTGAAAGTAAAGAAGGGTAATACAAAAAAATATCTTCAAAATAAACATGGGTAGGCATTGAGTATTCTTACCGCTAGCCTGACTTCCTTCTTATTTAGATTCAACTTGAGTTTACTTCAGTGTCTCATCTTGCAGATAGCACTAGTAGTGCAGTCAGACGCAGAGACAAGTGTTATCCAGATTAAAAACAACATACAAAACCTCATGAAACTCGGGAGTTATTTGTTGCATGTCTGTTACATTAGAGAAGTGAAAGAATGGTCCAAAGAAATGACCCCAGGAAAGACACTGAACTACTTCTGCATCATCTGAGTCCATTTGCAAACTGCTGTAACACTACTACCTTCCAGTGTGGTCCTCCACAGGCATAAGCACATCTGGTAATATCAGAGGAGAGCAAGGAACAGTTCAGTCCGCACTGTAACAGAAACTAACCAATCTCTACTGCAACCTACTGGGTAATTTGACGAAGGTTCATTTGGTAAAAGGCAGTAAATTGACTTCACCAGACTGCCTCAAAGTAAAGTAAGAAGTTCAAGATTTTGTGGCAAAATTGGTGCTACGCATCTGAGACTTTTGCATGTTCTAAGCAGGACTTGCTTCTAATTTGAATCTGAATTTGAGTCCAACATATGGGAGTCTTGACTAGACAACCTAGCAGTGTTTTATGGACTTACTTACTTTTATAACATAAATTATTACAGAGGAACAATACAGCTTACCACCAGGATACTTATTTGAATAACATTTAAAGGCCTTTCACATTCAAATTCTCTTCTCAGCAATAGCTGGAAACTTTATAGTCATTCACAAAATACAAACTGTGTATCATTTCACTCATGCGAATTACAACAGGGGCACACTGGTATTGTAAACCTCATGTAGACTGAAGCAGAAGATGCCTGGTTAAAGGGAACAGGTGAACACCTTCCTACTATCAATCTCTGAGATCAGGAAAAGACACTTCCTATAAGTGTTGTAGCCATACCCTTAACATCCATGTAACAACCACCTACCATTTATAGCAGGAAACTAGAACCTGTCTGTGTTCAAAATTATAAGCTTTCAGCCTATTGGCAGCAAATGCCTACTTGCAGTCCCATTCATTTTTACATTAATTCAGTGATTTGGAAATGCCATACAAACTCAAGTGTTATGCTATAAGCAACATAGGTTTGAAAATTAACTGATGTTAAGTCTGGTATAATTCAGCTTCTGGATAAAACAAACCAAATTAAAAGAGTATGTGAAAAACACAGGCACGGCAAAAACACTGCAGAGTTCATTTGAGGGGAGTTTCAGTTTTAACCTGTGAAAATGATTGGATTTCATCCATTCCCACAACTATCCTTGGGTTTCAGCATTAGATTCTGTTGTTCCTGTAGTATTTTATTACTTAGCTGAGTAATGCAAGGAAACAATTTAGACAAAATGATGACTGAGGTGGGATGGCTAAAATTTTACTGATCCATGTCTTGAAAAAAGGCTGAAATCAGTCAATTATTTTATTATAGAAGCTCTGGGAAAAGGTCGGTATGCAGATCACCATCACATTTTGCCATGCTTTCCTGGCAAATGTATAGAACAGACCAGCCAGAGGAAAAAAAAAAAATGAGCTCTGCAATGCTGTAATTTTAACTGCTCTGTTCGTTTGGTTACTTCTGGAAGCAGATTTTCAAATTTATGATCTGAGGTCTTCCAGGAAGAAAAATCTCAATCCACATATGCAAAGTCACAGCAGCATATACTACTCCTTAGCATCAGCTATATTCTGGGCAGCTATCCTTGAATAATGATTACCAAACTGTTAAGTAACCCCACTTAGCTACTGCTAAAGAGCTGATCCACTGCATTGTTACTAGTCATTTCCTCTGCACAGAAAACTTAACAAAGGAAAAATACAGCAACATTGGAATTTATTAAAACGCTCAGACTGCTGCAAAACAAATATTAGAAGACTGTATTCTTTTACAGATACACTTCATTTTTATTCTTATTCTAAAACATAACTTACAGATGAGATACTACTTTTCCTAACTACAACAGACATCTGAATTTCTAAAAATTATAAATACATTGAAGGCACCAACAACAGCTCAGTTTCTAAAAAGATACATTCTGACACCCTTTGGGATTATTAAAAAGATTAAAAAAAAAAAAATAAAATCAGTTGCAAGTGTTAAATCTCTATGGGTTTTAGTTAATCTGTCTAGTATTTACACTAACATAAATCTAAGGAACTTGGAATAGATAGTACAAAATTTTTTTCTATAGACTCATTTAGTGCATTTATTCTCAAACACATGTACCTAGCTAAAGAAGCACCAACATCAAAGGCAAACTCAGCTTTACAAAAGTCTGTGCAAAACATTCACCATCAATAATCATAAATACGTAAGATAATTTTCATATTGCAATCTCTGGACACCCTTGGAATTCCCTCCTGTGAGAGGGTATACACACCTCTTTGAAAATGAAGAAGTTGAGTAGAACCATTCCAAAGTTGTAAACAACCAACAGGAAACGTAACTGGAAGGGCTCTCTTGTCTTCATCCATTTGGGGCCCAGCCAGACAGTGAGGAGATAAATAGTGCTTATAGTCAGTGTTGGAAACGGAGACTGCATCAAGGGCCAATCATCAACACGTTTGTCTGTGGGGGTGAAGCAAACAGAAGGAGTCAACAAGGGCTGAACAAAATGCATTTCATCATCATTTTAAGCATTGCATTTGTTAAGTATTATTCTCTCCTGGAATAGCTGCATCAGATAGTAGAAAAACAATATACTCATTCTTTCTAGGAAGGTTAAAGAAAATAATAAAAAAACCCAACAAACCACCTTATCACATTAGCTTACACAGAGGTTCATAATGTCATGTAACTTCTGTTGTCCAGTTCTACAATCCAGAACAACAAATCAAATAGAATCACATGAGCCCAAATCCAACCCAACCCCACTAATCCCCCAAAACCCAATTTTGTTCATGATCAACAGTGATTGCAGCAGTAACGTAACCAAATATTCAACACCGCTGCAAATTAAAGATACACAAATCTGGCAAATCTGATAAATTAATAGCTTTTGTTAGTTTAAAATTAGGCACTAGAAAGCCTCCTATTAATTTTATATAAGTTGCATGATGCTACCCAAGTACTTTTGCTATTTGATGTAGGTCAGCCTCATGTTTCAGACAGAATACTAACAATGTTACTGGAACACAACTAAAAGAGTTTAAAGGGATGGTTCTAGTTAGAGTAATCTGTGCTGCCATATGGGACACAAGGATTTTACTTCCAGTTTCCTCCTGACACTCATGGGATCCAGATTTACATATATTCTAGGGCTCAGAATATGCTGTATTAAGTTCTGGATCTGTATGAAAAAAAACCCACTTTTAGCCTGATGAACCAGTGATGTCTAGGATTAGGGCTCTGCTACAGAAGAGGGAAGGGAGAGACTACAGTGACACCTCCTTACTCACTGTTTCCTCCCCACCTCCATATGAAGGCTAATCTTTAGTTATAGTAAGAGGCAAAAAGATAACTAACCCATAACTATCAATACTTAAGATACTGCTCAGCTCTACAATACTAACAGGATTATTTTCCAGATGCTTAGGCCAGTTGGAGTTCAGATGGAAATCGCCCCACAGGGCTTCTTGGGAATCTTAGACATCTAAAACACCTGCTTCAGTCATTCGTGGGCAAACTCACAAACAGCAGTACAGTTGCCTGAAGACTTACCTAGAGGAAAAATTTCTTTTGGAGAACTATAACCCAAAGATAGTGAAAAAAAACCCCTCTACCATAAATTAATTCCTGTTCCCAAGATGCTAGGAGGCCTAAAAAGAACTGGAAAAGAAGAAACAGAAACCAGCCTAGCTGCTTCCATTATGGCTATTAATATCAGAAGAGGGAAGTCATCCTAATGCATGGAAACCTCCAGCAAGGCTTATGCAGCCAGGATGACAGGAGTCACTCCTGCAGCCACAGCTACCAGCAGAAACCAAAGGTGAGACAGGGCAAGGAGTACAGAGAGGAGCAGCAAAAAAATCAGATAGATTGGCTGTAGAAACACAGGCATTGAAACAGAACTGAAGAGAGAGAAGACAGTTACCTCTTACTTTTCAACAAGTCCCTGGAACAAACACTTCTACTACGATTTAATGTACTGTCTGTAAAACATGAGAACAATTGCTTTATGCTACAGTACAGTGTCTTGGAATGTAAAGGAACAGCCTAATTTTCCAGACATTATAGAATGCTGCTATGGAAGCTGAAATCACACCACTGCGCTGCAATTATTACATCATTATCTTCCTTACACTTTAGTTTCTGCTTGTTTTTAGCTCTACCAATCTAAATTTTAAAATATTATAACACCACTTAAGAGACAAAAGAATTGGAGAACCTCATCATCCACCTGTAATGAAGTAATGGGCAAAGACTCATCTATGCTAAGCAAGCAGAATGGCGTTACTTCAGACACCGTAGCGTGAAAAGAGTTAAGAGTGTGCCAGGCTAGAGATCCAGCTGCTTTCCCAAACACTCTTGCACTAAACAGTATAAAGAGGCCAGGACATAAGAGAATCTATCTTCTATCTTCTAACCCAGTCCTTCATGGTATCCTGAATGCTAAACTGACAATATGAAAAACGTGAAAAGGGAAGAAGGCTAGAATTTTGCCCAGTAGCTGAATGTTACCACCCACTGCTGAAAATAGGAAGCTATGACCTATTCCAGATCTCTTTTTGTGGCAGGAGACAAAGATTTCCAGAGGGAAGAATGAAAATTCCCTAGCAGGTGAAAGAAAAAACAAAGGGACAACTTTCATGAAAGCCCAGCTGCAAGTGGGCTTTGCTCACACTTCATCAGCACTGTAAACAATTAATTCATCTACTTTCCACAAATACTACAAATAGAAGAACTAGGGAAAACCAAGAGATGTATTTACTTGACTCTGACGGCAAGATAAGAACACCTGAGCAGCTGCCATTACACTTCTATACCTGCATCATGGTTTCAGCATGTTACTTGCCCTCTGCGCGGGGTTTTAGATCATATCTCAGAGACAAATCTTAAACTATTTGCAAGAAAAGCATAGCTTACTGATACAGACCACATAACACACTGCCCAGGGAAATTATCTGACTGGGACTTGGTGGGGCCTGACCTCTCCTAGGGCAATTAATTAGACTTAGAACACAGAATGCCTGTATGAGAGGGAATGTAGTAGGCAATTCAGTTCTGGAGTACATCTTGGCCAAAACATAAGCATGTCAATAGTCAAAAAGTTTATTCTAATTCCTACTGTGCTAAGAACAACACCTTGCATTTATTTTAAGGGCATTTAGGAGATTCTACACATGATTATGTTTTACTGATACTGTGGCATCAGAAAACATGCTGTTCATTCATCCCAAAATTTGCTAGATCTAGAAACTTGTTCATCACAAGATTTCACCTGGATAATGCAAACTAACTTATTCAGTTTCAAATCAGTGCCACTCACCGTTCTTACTGCACAGAAAGCATTACAAAACCAATTTCACTCAGCTTACTAGGCAAGCCTGCTTGTCCATGTTCTACACAGAAAACACAGTTATATGCAGACCCTTGTTCCAAACTTCTTTTCAGATACCCTCTTTTAAACCAATGTAAATACACTTTCAAGTCTTCTGCTTAAGTGACAAACCTCCCTAGCTACTCCAACATCCTCCTTCCTTCCACCCCCAACCCTGTTTTAGCAAAAACAGTGTAATTCTGTGTTCTCCTTACTAGCTGGAGCTGATGAACATAAATGATTTCTACAAATTACAGAGAACTGCGATAGCTTAAGGGGACATACGAATGTATCAAAACCTGTAGTACTTTGCAAGCAATAGGTACATTAATACCTGAGAGGTGAAATAAGCTTGAAATAAAAAGGGCAGCTCCCTGAATTAAAAAATCCCTCCAAGTGCTTTGAAGCAAAATGACCAATGCCTTTACCTGATTAGAATTGACAGAGACTGACTGAATCTTTCAGGAGATTAATGTGTTTGTCTTTCAAATCCTAAGACCCAGATTCTAATTAAATCACAAAGAAAATGTCTGTTGTAATAGCACAACCTGCAGTACAGTGTTTTCTTTTTTGTAAGGTGGGAGAAGTTTCAGAACAAACGTTTGAAGTTTCAGTCAATAGTAAATGTGAATCCAGAGTAGAATAAGGCATCTGCTAATATGTTCCTGCTAGAAAATTACTGTTATGTAAGGAAAGAATATGAAATATTTATATACACAAGGTTTTCCTGTCATTTTATGTATATACATTTTAAAGCTTCACATTGCAAAGTCAAGAAACAGAAAAACACCTATATTTTATACATGCATATAAATAATTTTAAATGCCCTGAGGCACCTACCCTTGCAGGATTTAACTCTTCATGTGGGGCACTTAACAGGAAACACATGAACGTCTCTGATTTCTTCTTCCAAAGAAAGAAGGGCAGGACCAGTGAAAAAGACTGACTATCCTATCTGGTAAAGTCCAAAGAGGACATAATTAACCTACACTGAAATACTGAAGGCAAATGAAGATAAATTTTGGTAAGTAAGGCTGCACTAATGGTGATCTATAGTTAAAAACCACAATAAACTTCTGTGAAACATATCATGTTTTAATATGCAAACACTTCTGTTTAAGGTGGTTCAGCATTTTCTTCCTAGTAGAGAGGATTTGAGATGGTTACATTTCCTACGTATTGCTGAACCTATGATCTTTTTTTTTTTCTAATTTCCTCAAGTACAAACTTTAAAAATAAGCAAACAGATGCATAGCACAGTTGCTCCTACATTCATCAGAAGAAATCCTGAAACAGTATAATGGTGATGATGCTTTTAAGATTAGTTTTAGAGAAAACATTACATAACTAAAATATATGACTTGTGAAATTACCTGCATTTCAGATCAAAATCGGGTTCAAAATCAATACTTAGTCTTTATTTTTACTTTAACAACATATGTATTCCTTGGCTATAAGGTCGCTACTCATTAATTTATCTGGAGAGCCTTTCAAAGTTATTAATAGCTATTGATACTATTCTGAGCGCAAAGACACTTACAGTGCCAATCCAGCACACCCATCTGTCCAATTACATTTCTAAAGACGCTGCAGAAATGATGGTGACTGTTTAAAAGTGGTTGTTAACAGTGAGAGTGCTCTGCAGATCACACTGTTTATTTTAACAGGAAGTGCTCTCAAAGCCTCATCTCAAGTTTAAGAAAGATTTCTTAAGTGAGTGAAATTTTAGTTGCAAAATATAAGGAATGCAAACCGGTGCTACCTAACTGAAAGACTGTTTTATGACCCTGTCCTGGGTTCAGCTGTAATAGTCATTTTTCTCCTTCCTAGTAGCTGGTGCAGCGCATGACAGAACTACAATGGTTTAATCATCTAAGAATTTCCTACATCTTGTTAGCTCCACTAACACTACAAGGGAAGCATATTATAAAATGAAAACATGTATCATAGAAGAAAAAAATGTGAGAAACAATGTCACACACTTTAAATGTTTACAAAGCTCCACATCAGATTCCTTTGCAGCATTTTAGTGCTTCCCCCCTGTCCCTTCTTTTTCTGGTTACAGGTTAATATTCTATACAACATACTTCTCTCTCTGCATTTTTATGAGAAATACTGGCTCAGTCCTGTAAATATTTAC